CAGTATAGATTGGTGAGCTCCCTGTAGAGAAGCAATGGACTATACATGTAGAATGTGGAATGCTGCACTTTGGCAGACATAGGTGATATAGCAATCTATTTTCTGAAATTATTTCTTTATTATATGAGGGAGGGATAGATTATTAGGAAGAGACAAGTGTTTCTAAAAGGTATCAATAATTATTTTTTTAAAAATAAGGGCAGTGGGAATCATATTGTGGAGGGTTGAGTTTATATTTTATCTATGAGGCAACCGGGAGCCACTGAAGAGTTTTGTGCAAGGTAATGACATGGTCAGAAATACAAAAATTTCAAGGATTTTGGCAGCTATATGGAAAATGGGTTGAAATGGTTAAAAAGCACACAAGCAAGGAGGCAAGTTAGAAAGCTATCATAATAGTCTATAACACCAAAGTGACAAGGACCTGAAAGAGGATGCTAACCACAAAAAAATGAAAAGAAGGCCCAGATGTGAGAGGTATTGTGGAGGACTTAGCTGTGACAGGACTTAGCAACTGAATAATATACAGAAAAGGAAGAAGTCAAGGATGGCTCCAAGGTTACAAACCTGGATGATTAAAAGGAAACAAAAAGAGGAAATTTTGAGGAGGGCTGTATTTAGGAGATGATGAGTTCCACTTTGGGTGCACTGAATTTGAGATACTAAGGGGACATATAAGGTATCTGGCAGATACCTGCTGAGCTGGGACTGGCATCCAGGTGAGAGATCAGGGTTCAGTATATTGATGAGAGAGTCAGCTGCAGGGAAATGATAATTGAATCTATGCTGGTGGATAAGATCACTAAAAGAGTGATAATCTAGTCTAGTGAGAAGAGGGTCAAAGACCAAGCTTTGGGGGAACACCAGAATTTAAAAAGGAGCAGATTGACGAAGGAGCAACTAAGACAGAGAAGGCATGGATGGGATTATACACCTGCATCAATTAAGGAGTAATCATTGGAAAAGAAGCATGGTCCAATGGAGAGACTCCTAGACTTGGAGCCAGGAAGGCCTGTGTTCAAGGTTCTGCTTCTGACACTTACTAACTGCATGGGCCATGGACAAGTCACTTAACTTCTCTGAGGCTCAGGTTACTCTTTGTAAATAATCCTATAGCACTACACAAAAGTGAGCTTCATTATTGCCCACAGAGATGAAGTCATATAATTGAAGCATTAAAAGAATATCTATGGTATAACCAAAATATTACCGACTGAAAATAGTCTTATATGTTCCACTATGAAAAAGTCAATCAATAAGCATGAAGTATCTATCTTGTGACTATGCTTTATCATAGTTGAGATAAAAAAGTTTAGGTAACAGGCAACTCATTCATATAGCCTTCAAGGCTGCAAAGCTCTTTCCTCACATTAACTCCACAAAGTAGGGGAAATGACATTATCCCCATTTTATAGACAAGGAAACTGAGGCTCAGAGTTGAAATGGCTTGCCCAAGGCCATGCAGTTAATAACAGGCCACAACTTGAATCCAAATCACTTGATATCCAAACTAATGCTCTTTGTCCTATGCTGTGCGCCTTTCACTGGATATCCGTCACTACCCTCAAAGATCTAACAGTCTACTAGGGTGACAAAACACCAACACAGAACACTAGGATATACAATGTTACATGACAAATAGACTGGAGTATAAATAAGCTTATCCGAGGTGCGAAGAAAAAGAATGAAAATAAGCAGGAAGATCACTGGAACTGGTTTATAAAGGGGAAAGAGACCTGGAACTGGAATTAGGAGACATGGGTTCAAATTCCGTCTCTGCTCCTGAAGAACCACCTAATCTGTAAATTGAAGAGGCAGGCTCAGGTTCTTCCTAGTTCTAAATCATAGGCTCATAAGGTAAGAGGGCTGTGGGGACATCAGGCTTCCAGGACAGGTCTGCTCCTTTTGTCCACAGACAACAGAGTAGGACTGAAGCCAGAGATGTGAGCGTCCTTCACACTTCATATTACCTTGAACAAGTCAATTCTGCACTCTGGGCCTCAGCTTGTCTCTTTAAAAATTAGAGGACCACATAGTATCTGAGGTCCTTTTAACTGCTAAAACTTACGATCATGAGATCTTTTTCAGTCAGTCCATAAACATTTATTAAATGCCTACTAGGTGCCAGGTACTGTGCTAATTGAAGGGGATTCAAAGAATAAAGACAGTCCTGCTTTCAAGGACATTCCAGTCTAATGAGAGAGACTACATGCAAACAATTATGTAAAAACAAGCTATGTACAGGGTAAGAAGGAAATAAGCAACAATGGGAAAGCTCTAGAATTAAGGAAAATTGGGAAAGGCTTCCTGTAGAAAGTGGGATTTTAGCTGAGCCTTAAAGCGAGGAGGTAGAGATTAGGAAGGAGATCATTCCAGGCAGGGGAGGATAGGCAGTGAAATTGTCACTGGAGGGTTGTATAAAACATAAGACTAAAAATGGACACCCCCCCCCCAGTTATGAAGGGCTTTGAATTGGAAACAGGATTTTATTTGATCCTGGAGATGATAGGGAGCCACTGTGGTTTCTGAATGGGAATGTTATGGTCAGACCTGCATTTCAGGAAGAGCATTTGGACAGCTGAGTGGAGGATGGACTGGAGTGGGGAGAGAAGGGAAGACCGACCAGTAGATTACTACAATAGTCCAGCCTTGAGATGATGGAGACCTGTACCAGTATATTAGCAATGTCAGAGGAGAGACAGGGGTATATCGCGAGATGTTACAAGAGACCTGACAGTTGGAGATTTGAGACTGGACAGAGAGGTTGGGGCAGAATAGGTGGATTTGAGAATTGTCAGCAAAGGGATGACAAATAAATCCATGGAAGCTAATGAGAACAGCAAGTGAAGTAGTATAAAGGGAGAAGTGAAGAGGGCTCAAGACAAAATCCCATGAGACACTCCGTTAGTGAGTTTGACCTGGAAGAGAATCCAAGAAAGGAGACTGAGAAGGAGCAGTCAAAAGGTAGGAGAACTAGGAGAGAAGGTAGAGGAGAAGTAGGAGACAGTGTTGTTCCAAAAACCAAGAGAGAAGAGAGTATGAAATCAACAGTGTCAAGGGCTGAAGGGAGGTCAGGAAGGATGAGAACTGAGAAAAGGCCACTGGATTTGGCAACTGAAAGATCATTAGTAATTTTGGAGACAAAGGTTTCAGTTGAATGATGAGCTCTGAAAACAAACTAGAAAGTTAAGAAAGTGAGAGGAAAGAAGTGGAAGCACCTATTGTAGACAACCTTTTCAAAGAGTTTAACCACAAAGAGAGGGAAAGAGACAAAAACAGCTAAAAGGGATAACTGGATCAAGTGACAGTTTTTTGAAGATGGGAAAGTAAGTTTGCAGGCAGCAAGGAAACAGCCAATAGAGAGGAAGAGGTTAAAGATCCTGAGAGATAAGTGAAAGGGGATGATAGGAGTAACCACCTGGAGAAGACAGGATAGAATGGGATCATAGGTGCAAGCAGAGGGCTTAGTCTTGGCAAGGAAAAGGACCACTTCATCTAGTAAGACAGGGGTGAAGGAGGAGAAAGTGGCAGAAGACATATGAGTGATACAAAATGAGGAAGGGAATAGAGAGAGCTCACAGTGAATATTCTCAATTTTTTTTTTCCTGCAAAACATGAAGCAATGTTCTTAGCTGAGAGAACAGGGGAAGGGGAAGCCATGAGAGGGTCTGAGGAGGGATGAAAAGGTTTGGAACAGCACCCATGGAGAGTAGGATGATAAGTCAATTAGGGAGGTGTAAAAGCTGTAGCACTAAAGGCCAACTGAGGTTATATAACATTGTAGTGGACCCAGTGAGCATGATTTCATGATCTTTTTTCCAGCTTCCTTCAGCAGCAAGCAAGGAGGAACCAGATGATATTTTCAAATACTGAATAGGCTACCATATAAAAAAGATTTTTCTGCTTGTTCCTCCCCACCCCAAACTAGAATCAATTGGAAAGATTACAGATCTCATCTCAAAAGAACAACGACAACAAAAACCCTAACTTTGAGAACTAAGTGTTTGAGAATGGGCAGCACTGGAAAGATACTGAGACCTCCCTCGGGGTCAATGTGCCCCCATGAAGGGGATGCTGGACAGTCATTTGTCAGCACCTGCGAGTCTCTGACCTCTGGGCCTCGGGTTCACATCTGTAAAGAGAGGGTTCTGGCTTGGCAAATGTCCAGGGTCACTTTCAGCTGACAACCTCTCTGGGCCTCAGTTTCCCTCTCTTTAAGGTGAGGAGGCTGGGCTTTGAAGGTCTGTCTCTGAGGCCCCTTTTAGTTCTGACAGTCGAGGAGGAAGAGGATGGAGAAGAGGAAGAGCGGGAGGAAGGAGAAGAATGGGGAGAAGAGGTGGAGGGGAAAGGGAGGAAAGGGAAGAGGAGGGAGGAGGGGGAGGACAAGAAAGGAAGAAGAGAAGAGGAAGGGGAGAGGAAGGAGAGGGAGAGGAGAGGGAAAGGAGAGAGAAAGGAGAGGGAGAGGAAGAGGAGAGGAAGGAGAGAGGAAGGGGAGAGGAAGGGGAGAGGGAGGAGGAGGAGACGAGACCTGACAGGACTCGTTGGGACCGGGCCGGCAGCCGGGCCCGCTAGCTAGGTCACTTACCGCTTGTAGCAGGGCCCCCGGCGGCGGCTGCTGCCCCGCGGCAGGCCCGGCCCCGGCCCCCGGTCCCGCCGCTCCCAACAGCAGTTCATGACGGGGCCGCTTGAGGGGAACCAGCGGCAGCTCCGGACCCTTCCGCTTGTGTTGCTCGATCATGGCCGCCTCAAGCCGTCCGCGCCGCTCCGTCCACGGACCGCGCCGGGGTTTACGGCCCGGCTCCCATTGGCTAAGATTGTCCCCTCCCACCTAGGAACTTCCGTCCTAGGCCGGACCAATCAATTTCCTGAGTGTGCTCCAGAGCAAGGGAAGAGTAGTTAATTCTTTTTCACCCCTTTTTATTGGACAGAGGCCACGGCCGTCTCGGAGAATATTGGACTGTGATTGGCTGCTAGTGTGTGGGGGAGGGGCACGAATAAACTTCCTGTGAGGACTACTTTGGTTAACTTTTCCTCGCTTCCTCTTATTGGGTCGGAAGCCGGGCTGTCTCCGCGAGAATCAATCTACGGTTGGTCATTGCGTCCGGGGAGACGGTGCCTGAGCGCGCGGTGCCTGATGGGCGGCGGCTAACGGATTGGCTGTGGGGAACGGCGGCCTGGGATTGGCTGCGCTCAGAGCGTTTCATGGCGGCTTCCTGTTAGATCCTGTACCCAGCGGGCTGCTGAGTGAGTGTCGGGGGCTGGCTTGGGGACTGTCGGGGGCTGTGGGCGGGCGGCCTTTCGGGGATCCGGAGCCCAGGACTGTGTGTTTGCCGCCGTGGCTAGACCGGCTTGCCTTCCTTCCCGCCCTGGGAGGCTCGTGGTCCTGTCCTTTGGCAGGGGGATCATTCATTTATTGTCATTTATTAAGCAACCTGCTTTTATTAAGCATTTATTAAGTCAACAAGCATTTATTAAGCGCCTGCTGAGTGCCATGCTCTGAGAATCCACGTCCCTGTCCATTCTCCGGCTTCGGAGAAGCGGATACCTGCGAGGTTCAATGCACAGAACCGTAGGCCTGCAGCCAAGGGTCCTGGGTTCAGATCTCCCTCTCCTGTATTACAATTGCTTCCTAGTTGGTCTCTCTTCCCCCAGACCCTCCCCCCTCTCCAGTCCATCCTGCACCCAGCTGCAAGAGTGACATCCCCAAAACACAGGTCGGACCCTGAGTACTCCCCTCACCCCCTAAAATAATCTTCTGGGACTGTTGCCTCTCGAACACAGGAGTTCCGACCCTTGTTTGTGTCCTGGACCACTTTGGCAGTCAGTCTTGTGAAGCCTGTGGACTCCTCCAAATCATCTTTTTAAATGCAAAAATAAAATATATGAAATCACAAAAGGGAGAAAGAAGCGTTTATTATGTATTATAGTTACTATACAGGCACTGTGCTAAGCCCTTTACAAGTATCATTTCATTTGGTCTTCACACAACAACCCTGCCAGGTCGGTGCTGTTATTTGGCGCTTGAGAAAAGTGAGGTGGACAGAGGTCAAGTCAAGAGTCACAGCTAGAAAGTGGATTGAATTTGGGTCTTCCTGACTTTGTCACTGAACTCGTTGTCTTTCTCCCTAAACTACCCTCCCTTCACCCGACATCCCTATTACTGTAGAAGACAAGGACACCATCCTCCCAGTCCTCAGGCTCACAACCTAGGAATCATGCTGGACTGCTCACTACCTCTCACCCCTCCCACATTATCCAAGCTGTTGCCTTCACCTTTGCAGCATCTCTGGGATATGCCCCTTCTGGCCCCTGACGCTGCCACCACCCTGGTAGAGACCTTTATCACCTAACGCCTGGACTTCTGCAGTAGCTGTTGGTGGGTCGGCCTGCTTCATGTCTCAGCCCACTCCAATGCATCCCTCTATTCAGCTGTCCTAAGGTGCAGGTTCTACCAAGTCACTCTCTATGTCACTTTCAGTAACAAATATCCTCTGTTTGGCATTCAAAGCCCTTCATAACTTATCTCCCTCGGGGCATCTCCTTCACTTTCCAGTCATTTTACACATTACACACCCCACACCCTCCATATACACTTCTGTCCAGTGACACTGGCCTCTTTGCTGTTCCTCCAACGAGGGATTCTGTCTTGGGCCCCATACATTATCCCTTTGTCTCCCATGCCTGGAATGCTCTGCCTTCCCATCTCAACCTCCTGGCTTCCTTCAAGTCCGAGCTAAAATCCTGCCCTCTACAGAAAGCCTTTCCTATTTTCTTTTAAATCTAGTGCCTCCAGATTGTTGATTATTTTCTATCCCTCATGCATCTTGTTTGTACGTAGTTGTTTGCAGGTTGTCTCCACCATTAGCCTGTGAGCTCCTCAAGGACAGGAAATATTTTTTTTGCCTTTATTTGTATCTATATCACTTAGCCCAGTGCCTGGTACAGAATAGTTGCTCGATAAATACTTGTCAACTAAATGGCTGTCTGCCAGAAAGAAAACCTATTCTATTGAAATACAGTTTACCAAACTATTCAAAAAAATGGTTCATGGATCTCAGGTTAAGAACTCTTGTTCTAGAATAAAATTCAGACTTCTTTTTTTGCCGTTGAAAGTTCTTCCTAATGGCCAGCCTATCTTTTCAGGCTGATTATATAGTTATTCTTCATTTTGTACTCTGTAATAATCCAGCTAAACTGATCTGTTTGCTCTCTTGTATATGTGGCATTTCCATTTCTTGTTATTCCTTTGCACAGGTTCACCCCACATACCTGAAATATACTTCCTCCTCAATTCTCTGTTTAAAACCTCAAGCTCCCCCGCCCCATGTCTTTCCTGACCACCCCCTTCCTTCTTGGTAAAACTCCCCTGTTGTAAGCAATTACATTTATTTTGTAAATATCACACATTCTCTTATTTGTGTACGTGGTGTTTCCTTCAATAAAAGTGGTTGGTACAGCCCAGGACTTGGAGTCAGGATCCTGCCTTACTGGGCTAGCTACGTGGCAGAATGCATGGAGCACAGGACTTAGAGTCAGAGAGACAACCTGAGTTTGAATCCTGCCTGTGATACTTATTAGCTGTGTGACCTTAGGCAAGTTATTTCATCTCTGTTTGCCACCATAAGATGAGGATAATAACTCTCCTCCCAGGATTGGGAGGATAAAATGAGATATTTGGAAAACAAGAATTTGGAAAATGAGATATTTGGAAAACGCTTTGCAAACTTTTAAGTGATAGATAAATGCTAGCTACTGCTATTACTACTATTACTACTACTACTACTACTACTACTACTACTACTACTACTACTACTACTACTGCTGCTGCTGCTGCTGCTGCTACTACTGCTACTACTACTAGTTATGTGACCCAGGGCAAGTTACAATTCTGTTTCCTCAAAAAAGTTCATATTTTATTCTAGAAGAGAAGTTCTTAACCTGAGATCCATGAACTTGTTTTTTGTTTTTAATAGTCCGGTAAACTTTATTTCAGTGCCTTTGGTTTCCTTTGAGGCAGACAGTCATTCATTTGATAAGCATTTATTAAATACCTACTGTATGCCAGATACTGGGCTATTCAGTGGGGGTACAAAGAAAGAAAGGCAGTCCTGCCCTCAAGAAACTTACAATCTACATGAGGAGACAGCATGCAAGTAAACATATGCAATCATAGAACACCCCCCCACCCCCATTCCGGAAATTTCTGTTATAACCAAACTGGATTCTTGGAGGTTCCTTGGTGTAGCCCTCCATCCCTGACCTTTGTGCAGACTGTGCTGTGCCCCTAGCACGAATGTACTTCGTCCCCGTCTTTACCTCTCAGACTCCTTAGATTCCTTCGACGAGCAGCTCAGGAACTACCTCGTCCACGCAATCTTTTCCCTTTCCCTGACGTCAGGCCTTCCCAGTTCCCAGTTCCTCTATATTTATCGATCTGTGTCCGTCTTGTACCCTGCTCGCCCTATAGTAAAATGAGAGAACTCTGACAGTGGAGACAGGTTGTTACTGTCTTTGTGTCTCCAATGCCCAGCAGCCACCCTGTGATTTTATCAGTGCAGGTGCCTCCCCTGATACAGGCAGGGAGTGTCTTTTGCATCTTCTTATATCCCTAGTGCTTAGCCCAGTGCCTGGTGTTAGAAACAAGGCCTCACAGAAATGAGGCCTTCTAGTTAAAAATGAAACTAAGTCGGAGTGAGTGAAGAGTCGTTTATTTATGGTTCTTGCAAGAGAACCGGGCATATCTCTCGGAAGAGATTGCACCGATTACAGAAGGGAGAAAAAGTTTTATACTGTTAGAATACTGCGACTCCTCCCTTCCTGACCCGGATTGGTCTGTTCCTTTCCAGGTTACAGTCTTACACGTCCACCCATCCCATGTCCCCTTGACATGCCCCACCCCTTCCCTAGTTATCCAAAAGCCTTTGTCCTACTTAGGGCTAGTTAAAACCGGCTCTGCCCTCTAGAACTTTGGGGTCTATTAAAAGATTAGGGCCCTTCTCATTGGCTTGCCCTTTCAAGGTTTTGCAAGCTTGTTAAAATAATGTAACTTCTTTGCTGATGTTGTAAGATGTCAGAGGTTGTTTTAAATTGTGGGAACATGATACCTTGTCCCTTACACTGGCACATAGTAGGAGCTTAATAAATTGATTGGTTGATTGATTGATTGATTTATCTGGCCGTCTACCATGTCTGGATTGCTCTCTTTCCTCATCTCACTCCTTACTTCCCCATCTTCCTTCAAGTCCCAGGTAAAATCCAGCTTTCTACAGGAAGCCTTCTCCAATCCCTAGTGCCTTATGTCTCTTGATTATTTTCTATTTATCTTTTGTGTATGTTATTTGTACTTATTTGTACTACTGTAGATTTAGACCTTACCTTAAGAGGGCACTGAGTCCAAGCCCTTCATTTTATAGCTGAGGAAAATCAAGTCCTGGAGAAGTCAGGTGATTTCTCCAGGGCCACACAGTCAGTGCGTGGCAGTACTGGAATTTGAATCCAGTGCTTTCGTCTCCTGAGGCTTTTTTTCCTTTTTTTTTTTTTAATTTTTTCTGGTGTGCTGTGTCACATAGCTAATAAACATTCAATGTGGAATTTGCACTTGAGTGATTCCCTACTCCAGGTTCGGCATTCTGCTCATTAAAGCTGCCTCTCTTGGGAAAAGTATTTTTATCAAAATAGTAAGTCATGTTTATGTGACGCTTTAGTCACAACAACTCCGTAAGGTCAGTATTTTATGTACTCACTTTAGAGGAGAGGACGCTGAGGCAAACCAGCAGTGAAGTGACTTCCCCAGGGTCAGACAGCTGGCAAGTACAGGTGCTGCTCTGCCTCTCAAATTGTGAAGAGCTGCGTAAGTTGTAGAGACTTGTACAAGTGAAATTATCATTGCACTCCATTTTCCTCTGGTGACTCCTTGTAATCCTGAGGTTCTAACAGTGGCAGCAGCAAAAATTCTGACTCGGGTCCTAACAAGCTGGGGAGGCTTCAGATTTTCACTGTGAGTGTACTGTGTACTTTAGCAGCTCATTAAGAGGAGGCTCACCTCTAGGTGATGATCATTTTGAGGCAGCACAATTGATCAAAGGTAGCTAATTCACATAGGGGTTGTAATCTGCATTGGGGGAGAGTGTGCTGACATAGAGAAAACCACCACTTCTTAAAGTGTTGAAGCATTACTCCCATAAGCCTGCTCTGTGCTCAGCCCTGTACGAGCTGGGGGTGGGGAAGAGGACATTTATATAACG